TAATTTATTTTAAAAATCAAAAGTGATACAATTTTTTATTTTTATAATATTTTATTAAAATAATATAATTTTAAAACATTTTTCTTTTAATTTTTTAAGACCCAAACACACACTAATTTCATTTACAAAAATTAAGAGTTTTCTTTAGACCCAGCTCAATTTTGTAGCCCAACAACAGCTACCATGGGCTCTTCTTCTTCGCCAACCCGGCTTCTCCTTGTCGTGTTCTATCGGACCAGCCCACTACAACTCGTTTAAAGTAAACAACTCCAGCCCAAAAAAAAAAAAAAAAGGAAGAAATCAATTCCCGCCAACCTAACCGTTTTAGAGATAGAAACTTCTGCTCATTTTCTCCAGCACTCACTCTCTCGGAATTCTCAAACACCCGATTTCAACTCGCAATGGAAGACGACGCGGCGAAGCTCCAGACCTACAACATCGAAATCACGCCGCAGAAACCCCAATTATCCTTCGACAATCCTCCGCCGCCGCCACCGCCGCCACACGAGTTCTCCTTCTTCAGCTCCCGCTCGCGACGAAGAGGATCCGACACTTGGATCATCTCCGTCTTCGTCATCCTCCACATCCTCGCATTCATCACTGCCATGTTTGTCAACGATTGCTCCGCCAACTCTCACGGCGATTGCGCCCTCCAATTGCTCGGGAGGATATCCTTCCAGCCTCTCTCTGAGAATCCCCTGCTTGGACCCTCCGCTTCCACGTAGGTTTCCGTTTCTTGGTGCTTTTTCCCTCTAGCTTTTGTTTATCATTTCTTTAATTAGGGTTTCTGTTTGGAGTTTCGTTCGTGAATTTCTTCTAGGTTCATGATTCGTGGGTGATTCTATCTGGGTTTCTGTGCATTTGATTCATCTATGTGTTCTTATTGTGTTAGTATTTGTCTATTATGAAGATTTTTCACTACTATGTTCGGATTATGAGGCTTAGATTCCACAATTCATTCTTGAACTTTTGGTAATCTTATATGGTTCAGGTGATTCTCTAAGGCTTTTCTCAATTTATTCTACTGTTAATGTTCATTGGTTTAAGTTGATATTCAGCTAATCCAGATCGTGTGTTAGACTCTTTGCGATGCTGCTTTCTATATAGTCTTAGTTTGTTTCTCTACTCATGGTGAGATACTTGTGCTTGATTTATCTTCTCTGTTTCACTCCTATGGAATAAGAAGCAGAAATGGAAAATGGTCTTAACTTAGCCATGGATAAAAGATAAAGGAAACACTTAGCTTTTGTAGTTTTCTGCGTTTGTTAAGGAAAGTCTCAGTTAATAGTCTAAGAAACAGAAGAGGGCTCTGGGATTTATTATTTGCAGCACATGGGTGTTAATTGTTATTTCAAATCTCTATGATTAAATGTTCGTATGGAGAGAGGAACCTCAACAATTTCTTTGTACTATCAAGTCAGATGAGAATTTTTTAACTTCTAGTAACACATTTTGTTCTTTGAGATAATCCACTACCAACCTCCAACCATATATTACATCAGACTTGCTCTTATTTTTTACTTAAAGCCTTGGCCTTGTTTATTTTGAGTTTTGTTGTTGATACTTGAAACTTTCCAAGATAAATCAGCTACTGCAGTACTCTTCTTTTCTGGTTACTAAACTTCCTTGCAATGCTAAACTTTAGAACTTGGCTATCATATATTTCTTGTACACCAAACTTGCATTTCCACCTACTTGTCTTGCCACCTGGATAGTGAGAGAGCATCTATAGTGAAGCAACAGTGTATCTCTTCCAGCACCTTCGGAATTATTGCTAATAAACTGAATATATATGGAGTATATACCAACATGTGCTTGTACTCTTGCAGTCTGGATAAAGTTGGGGCCCTCCAGAAGAAATATTTTGCTGAGAAACACCAAATGTGGCGTCTCTTCACATGTACGTGGCTCCATGCTGGGGTTGTCCACCTTATTATCAACCTTGGTTGTATAATCTTTGTGGGAATCCACTTAGAGCGAGACTTTGGGCCATGTAAGAATTTTTGCTTGATCAAGTATATTTTCAGGTTGATATTGAGTTATTTACAAAGCTCATTCAATCCCATTTCTCAATTCTGCTTGACAGTGAGGGTTGGGATAATCTACCTTCTGTCTGGTTTCGTTGGTAGCTTGGTATGTGCACTTTTTGTTCGGAATAGTCCAGTGACCACTGCCTCTGGTGCTCTGTCTGGGTTACTTGGAGCTATAATTTCTGGGCTCGTACGGAACTGGAAAGTCTACACAAATAAGGTACTTCATTTTCTCTTCCTCGCAGCCTGGTTTTATCTCTCTTCAATTGATGTTATAAAGCATTGATCTGTCCTGTGCTTGGTTGCAGTGTGCAGCTTTAGCATTGCTTTTCATTGTCTCCATGATAAATTTCCTCCTTGGTTTGCTGCCTTACGTGGACAATTTCTCAAATATGGGAGCTTTCATATCAGGATTTCTGTTAGGACTTGTGCTTCTGTTCACCCCACAGCCCAGACAAGTTGCTCAATACAAAACTGAGCTTATTGAATATAATTCAACCATGTTGACGCTGAAGCTTGACAGGCCTATCCTGAGGAGTGTTTCTCTGATGCTGTTCAGTGTTGTGTAAGTTATGGTTATATCCGTATGGCATGAACTTGTTTGCTTGAGAACATAACAGAGGAACTTGTTTTGTACGCAGATTTGCTGGGTGTCTGGTAGCAGTACTCCAAGGCCTGAACATAAACGACTACTGTGGATGGTGCAGATATGTTGACTGTGTCCCATTCAGAAAGTGGAGCTGCAATGAGATAACGAGTTCATGCGAGGTAGGCAGATGCTTGATTAAAGTTCTTCCTCACAAAGGGCTTATCAATTTTAACACACAGTTGTAATTGCAGAGCATGGTAAGCAACTCACAGACAACATTAACTTGTATGGGCAATGGCAACT